AAAATCTCGTTTTTCACTCTTGTGAGGAATTCGGTTATGAGATTTTCTCTTCATTACTAGTTTTACTTGAAATATTTTTGTGAATTGGATGAATTCTTGAGGAAACCATGTCAATCTTCTTTTATAGTGTTTCTTAAGTAGTCATTGAAGTACAATATGAAATCTATGCACCACTAAAAACTGGTCTTCTGATCTCGATACTTTGTTTAAATCTGACTACTCTAAACCCTATCGCCGTACCTCGAAAAATGAGAATGACCTCGGGAAGTGCAATCGCGTGCTCGCCGGATGGGCTTAACAGAGTCACCGCCGATATTTATTTATTCCCATAGAGGGAAGGGAAAAATATCAAATAAAACCTCTAAAAGAAAGATAAGGATATGGTCATCGCAACCAATATATGACTTTAGGAGTCAGTTACGCAAGGGAAAGATATTAGCACCCCTCACGTCCGTTGTACTCAACAAGAATTGTTTGTTTAATTATGTGCATTAATGTTTGCTTAAAAGTTAGGCTTCTCAACTTATTTAAAGGGGAAATAAAAGAGAAAGGGAACTTAAAGGCTTTTATTATTAAGGGGACCTGACAAGATTTTGCAATCCTTCTCCTACGTATCTCAAAAGAGAAATCAAGGCACACGTAGTTCTGGATAAAAAAATTTGTTTGTTGGTCGATTTTAGCGGAAGATATTTAATCGCATTTGACAGAAAATATTGTTTTATCCAAAACATGTGAGGAGTGGACGTTTGCATCAAAACAGGTTGACGGCGATGCATAAAACAATCGACTTACAATTTGGGTAATGGAATGAACTTGAATGGTGATCAATTGGTGTTGACCAATGTTTTTGAAAATGGAACTTGGAGTTGACCAAGTTCTTTGATTTTTTTGAAAGATCAATTTTATATTTTTTTATTTTTATCTAATTAGTTAACTATTCTACCTAAATGAAAACAACACAAAGAGATGAAACAATTACAAAAAATAAGGGTGGGGGATACATTTTTTTTTTACAATTGGGAAATATATTTAAAATTCAATAAAGCTAATAAACATAATAATATTAAACAAGTCATACAAAATAATAAATAAAATAAAGAATAAGAAATAAGCAAAATAGAAAGATGAATTAGATACTAGAAACACACCATAAAAAACATTAAAAGAAAAAAATTTAGATTTTTTAAAATTAATATTATTAAATTTTTTTAGATTTCTTTTTAAATATATGACTAAATTATATATTTTTATTTTTTTTGTAGTTGCTAGGTACTTGTGCTCCATCACATTGATTTCAATCTTGAAGGTCCTATTCTGAGACATTGGAGCCTTCAAGATCAACCTATCACCTGCGTCGAGAACTATCACCATCTTGTCTTTGATCGACACCTTGTAGTTCTTTTCGACTAGCAGCCCTATACTGAGCAAATTACTCTTCAGGCCTGGTATGTACAACACATTGGAAATTGTTGACCTCTTGCCATCTTTCCTCATAATCAAAACATCACCAATACCTTCAGTTGCTAGAGTATTGTCATTTGCAAATTTCACCATGTTCTTCGACAAGGGCTTCATGTTGAAAAACCAAACTTTCCTTCCAGACATGTTTGATGAGCATCCCGAGTCCAAGTACCCCTACTCCTAGAATCTTTCTTCGTCTCTTATTGTGACCATTAGCAACATTTCTTCTTCTTCATGCTTTGTCATCTTTGCATCAGTTTCTTGATTCTTTTTCTTTTCTCTATATTCACTAAAATAGTGACCATACTTTTGACAATTGAAACACTGAATGTGACTTTTGTCAGGCTTTCGTCCATCACCTCTTCCTCTACCTGTAGCACCACCTCTTTGGTTGCCTTGGTTCCAGGGTTTTCTTTTATTCGATCAGTTTTCTTCCAGTCGATTTCGACCAGTCAAATTGTTGAAGCTTCCTCTACCTTTGTTGTCATTCCAGCTTCCTTTGTCTTTCCTTTCCTTTTTTGACTGCGACTGCAAAGCCATATCACTCTTCGACTTTCCCGCAGCTTTTTCAGCCATCCTTTGCTCATGAGACTCAAGCATCCCTTGAAGCTCTTCCTTCGTCAATCTTGACAAGTCTTTCGACTCTTCTATGGCTACTACCACGTGGTCCAACTTTGAAGCTAACGACCTCAAGATCTTTGCAACAACTAATCTTGATGTCAACACTTCTCCACATACCTTGATTTGATTCACCAGCTTTGTAACTCTAGTGAAGAAATCTGCTATACTTTCACTTTCTTCCATCTGAAGCAATTCATAGGGTCTCTTGTGAGTTTGTAACCTCACATCTTTCACCTTTTCTGCGCCTCCAAACAAATTTTCAAGAATCTCACACGCTTCCTTCGCTGATTCTACATTACTAACATTTTCAAAATTATCTGAATCTACACATTGATGGATTATAAAGAGAGTTTTATAATCTTTCTTCTTCAATTCTTTGAATGCAACCTTTTTTTGATTTGTCGCGTTAGCGGCACTACTCCTCTCTTCGCAAGATCCCAAAGATCTTGATAACAGAAAACCACCTTAATCTGCTTGCACCAATTCTCATAAATATCTTTCTAGAGAATTGGAAGGTTTGCCGAAAAGTGACAGTTTGGATGATTCATCGCCATCACGATTTTCCTTCCTTGAATCGCAACCGGAGCTCTAGATACTAGATGTTGGAAATTCAACCACAACCTATGGAGAATTTCACTCAATCAATCTTGATCTCAAGATTGTTCCCACTCACGTAATGACGATGAAAAGATTTAGAAAGAAAGAAAGTAAGTAAGTAAGTAAACGTTGGAGAAAAAGAAAATGAACAATTTTTCTACAGAGAACTCTCTGCCCACAAACTGTGGAAATTCTGTTATTTCACTTGAAACTGCAAACTGTGAATTACAAAATATGATGAGATGTTTACAAAATAAGAGTTTCTCTGTATTTATAGATTTAGGTTTGCTTGCACCCCAAGGGAAAGCGCAAAACTATAAAAGCCCAAAATAGCTAATATTATTAAAATAGGCCTAGGTCAAAATCATGTGTGAAGCAACATACTTTGACACTTCGACACACTAACACATTAAATTAATTTAACTAATCATTGTTTCTATCAAGCTACACTGTTTCGACATAAACTCAATATATATACACACACATATATATATATATATATATATATATATATATATATATATATATATATATATATATATATATATATATATATATATATATATATATATATATATATATATATATATATATATATATATATATATATATATATATATATATATATATATATATATATATATATATATATATATATATATATATATATATATATATATATATATATATATATATATATATATATATATATATAATAAAATTATAAAAGTACACAAAAATAATATTATCAAATAAATAAAAATTTCGAATAAAATTTTACACTTGAGAAATTAGTTTGACGTAGTGTTACGACTAACAAAGTGATTAGGATTATAGCTTGTGTATCTTATTGATGCAAAAGTTCTTTCATCGGGGAAGAGTGAGGACCAGTACGGCAGCGTCTTGGAGCATTTGAAAAACCAACATTTCATTCATTTAATTACACTCATAAATCTACTTTCAAATTATTTACAATTTTGCAATGTATTTCAAATTATTTTACTTTTTCCCTCAAATATCCATAAACATATATAGTTGAAATGCCAGACATTTATAATAATGTTCTTTTGTACTTGTAAATTTTATTTTTCTTTTAGAAAAGCCCTATTATAAAGCTGAAATCTTTCAAAAACTGCATGAGAGATGATTCATTGGGTGGATGTGGACAGACCCATATATATATAAACCTATCTAGTTTTTTTGTCATCTTTTGTTTGTCTAGGAACACAACTTAGTTTGACTTTTTTTTCCACTCGTATAGTTTAGTGCTAGAAGACACTCTCATAATCTTTAACCTCATCAGTCAAAAACTATTCATAGTGAGATTTTATTTCACATCACTTTCATTTAAACAATAGTTTGCATATTAAACCCTAGTTTATAGGTTTGATTTTGTGGTCAAAAATGAAAACAACAACCTAATCTTAGTTAACTAGTCTTTGTAACAAAGATAACAAGCGATAGCAACATCAAGTAATTCCAAAATGATGTCTTTAAAGTCTGTAAGTCGTAGTGGCCCCTATTCTTAAGGAAGGACACATATTTTGCTTGTATTATCTAGCTGCAAAAATCATACTACATCTTACAAATTTCACTATCTCTATCCATAACCAAAAAAGAACAAATTTTTTTTAATGTTGTCACAGCAAAACAACATGGGCTAGTTTTGTTTTGTATTGCCTCTCCCTGAATGTAACATTATAGACAGGACTTTTATAGGTGTAAAGTGTAGCTAGTTATGTTAAATCTGTTTTGAAAAATATTATAGTTTGGTTTCTAAGCAAATAGCCTTACCATTTGGTTTTGCGTCAAAGACTCTAAACTCGGGTCTGCGAGAGCGTAAAAGGTGAATGAAATATCGAGTTGTCATACATGTAATTACTTGATTGAAGAGTATTAGAATTAGAATTTGACTTACAAATATTTTACCTCAATCACTAAAATAAAAATTTTCAACAACAAAAACAAAAAATGAAAATTTATTTCATAGATGATGATCACTCCCTTGTTGCAAAATAACTTTCATTTTAGGCCATTGAACATGACACTACACATCTAAACAGCAAACAAGATAAGCTATGTCAGAAATATGTTTTCCCATTAGGTTTCAACCCTAATTTGTTTAACCTTTGTGTTAATAACCATTCCAAACAAACTACTCTAGCTAGGAACAAAAGCATAATCAACAGCTACTATAATACTCTAAAGTTAACATTAACATTTAACACACCAAATTTACTAAAAAAACAAAAACTCAAACCATCCACAAATACTAGTTGAGGGTTAATTTTGTCATTTCATTGAAATCATGCACCCTCAGTTTAACAGCATAGTGAGGCTTCTTCCTCAATTCTTCCAAGTAAATGATGAACTGCTGTTGCAATGCCATCTACTGAACCAAGTTGAAACCCTTCTTCAACCTTCATAAAATAATAAATAAATACATCACAAACTATAAAACACACATAGACACCAGACACAATACCGACAGACTTATTTTTTTAGGTGTCGGTGCTACATTGATCACAAACACGGCATAAAAAAGTGAAAATACTGTGATAATCTTCAGCATAAAGATGAATAGGTGCATGCATACCTTGGCACTGATAGAGTAGAAAACCAAAGGTTGTATGGTAGTGACATTGAGATGAAGAATGGAGAGAAAGAGTGTTTGAAAACCAGCAACCAATTTAGTTAACTGTCCTGGTCTTGTTTTAGTGAGAATTCTAAGATTTGCATGAGTCTCGATTAACGTAACCTCGATATCGGCTATGGCAGCTTTGGTTTTGGATGTGTATTTGTTATTAGTAGTTTGAGACCATGTGTATTGAGGATACACAAAAAATTGTGCAAATGGTGGTTTCATATTATTGAGCTTTGAAACATTGGATGTTTCTTCAATGTTGTTTTGTTGTAATGCTAATTCTTGTTGGAAGAGTTGTAGCTTTCTTGCTTCAAGTGATTGCAAAATATGTTCTAGTTCCTTCACAAACTCTATGGCTCCACCAACTATTGAGGCTTGGTCACCCTAAAACAAAAACATGTTAGTTTAGCACTATGAAGCACGAACACAGACACAAACATTGATATGTGAACACTAATAATAACTTGAAAAAATGAATATATTGAACGTAGTCGTAAGTATCGGTGTTGTGTCAATGTGGGCACGTCTTTTTTAAGAGGCGCATGCATGTTGATGAAAATAAATCTCCTCAATATAAAGAAAATCGAAGAAAACTAACCCTTTGAACATAGGATTCAGGCATGAGTGACCGAAGAACAGCGAGATGTTCATTCATTTGTTTTCGACGGTTTCTCTCAACCGTAATGTGTGTGATTCTCTGAGTCTCAGCTTCTTCTTTATTCTTACAAACTCTTGGCTTCCTTCTCCTCTTCTTCCTCCCTTCCACAACTTGATGACTACTCATTGTTTCATCTTGCTCCATAAACTCTCTTTTTCTGTTATTCTGATCAAATATTACACCTTCATGATATTGTTGCTGCTCATAGCTCATTGCATTTTCCAAGAAACAACAAGACTCTATTGTATCATGATGATAAGAACTAGTACTACTAAATGGAGTTGCAGAAATGGTGTCATAGATAATAGTTTCCAAAGCCATTTTACTCTCTTCAACTCAACTATGTGCTCATTTATAGCAAAATATATATAAAAGTTTGTGAAGTTTTTTGATGAGTGACAAAGAGGAAGAAGAAGAAGAGAGTAATAAATAAGTAATAGTATTAGAGAATATATAGATATATATATATATATATATATATATATAAAGCACGTGAGAAGGTGCAGAAAAGGTGTAGTACTTTTCAGGAATCAGAAAGGTGTAGATAGTAAAACGAAAACACACCCTCCTTTTATTTTTATTTTTTTGCTTTGGTTTCTTCACTTCCTAATTTCATAGATGCTGTCACAGTCTTATGCCAATGAACAGAGAGAGTGTGGACCCAAATCTATATAGAAATATGCATAAAAACAATATAACACAAGCTGTGTAATAGCTACTTCTCACATTCAAATCTGTGTTGGAGTTTGTAGGAAATGAATGGCTCTTGTACCTAAGATTCTCTTATAAATTATTAGTAGTTAAATTATTATTTTTAAGTTTTAGACAAAGTACTATTGTATCATATGGTACTATGTTCTACATGTCAAAGACATATATATGAAATTTTTGGTTGTTAGTTACAGGTAAATTATTAGTTAAGATGCTGCTTTCCATATCCTTATATTAAAAGTTTGCATTCATATTGTAATAATTTTGTTGTTTTTTATATGCATATGTGCATTTGAGCTCATGTTAGTGGTGTGTTCTTATTAGTTAAGTTTTATTTTGATTGGGTTTGAGGGGGAAATAAATCCAAATTACCTAACAAGCTTTGATCTAATTAGGTTTAATGGTTTTTTTGGATATGGAACCTACAGATTAGGTCAAAGTGTAGTTTTAGATTTTTTTACAAAAAATTATCATGAAAATTTCTAACTTTTAAAGGGAATTGAATTAATGCAGCTTGTTGTCAATGATTTTTGTCTTTTGATTAAAATAAGTTGAGTTGTCAAATTGCGAAATCAAAATAACTCACCTAACCTTTACCTAATTTAAACTAAATCAAAATAAGTTTTGAGTTTTCAAATTGCGAAATCAAAATATCTCACTAGCTTCAAAATTCGATTCTAATTTAAACTTTGATCGAGTTAATACTCAATAGGATCAAATTTGAGTCTAATTTAAACTTTGATCAAGTTTGTAGGATTTGCGAGTTAGTTCAGACTACTACTATGCCCCAACTTGTCCTACTTCAAGCCACAATTCCATGATTTCTCAATTCAACTTTTTATATGTCCAAATCACTCAAATTACATTATTCATAAAGTTAGTTTTGAAAATGTAACTTTGAACCTCCAACTCCTTTTAATCGTTAACTCAACTAGTTTAAGTCAGTTGAACTACCCTCCATCCCCTTTTCACAATTTATAATGCGAATTGAAAATAATCAATTTCATTTATCACTTTCATTGCAAAGTACACAAAAACTTCATCATATATATTCGTTTTCTAATGAGAAATTGTTAGCTTAAGTAGTAGTATATATTTACACTCTAGTCAGAACTTGAACCTGAACATCTAGCTCATTCAAAACAAGCAAGTTGAGATACCTCCCACCCTATATATTCATATATCTATAAGTTAAACCCATAAATCTATTAATCAAAACTATAACAATTATAATATTCAACTTGGCTTATTTCAAAGTTTCTAATGTTCACTTCCCTCTTATTTTACTATTTCATCGGAGGTTTAAAAGCATTTTTTTTTTGGTTACTGTTATAAACAGTGGGCTCTGTCTGTGCATGTTTTTTGATAATAAAAAAATGGAAATATTACACAAACAACCAGAATTCAGGCTCATATATAAGAATGAGGACACACGAAAGGACAGAAATGGTGCTAGGACCATGGTCCAAACTGTCAGACTCTGCTAAATTAACCATGTGACTGTGTATGTAAGCTACCCCTTCTCGAAAAAGCACATTGCATGCAGGTCCTCATCACTTGAGCTATATTACTCAGATCCCCATAATTCATTTTTCACCTTCTTTCTATTGTCCTACACATTGATGCTTCTTTTTAACCCTTATCATCACCTTTTCACTAAAGAAAAACCACAAACCAACTAGGTATGAAAATGAAACATATTATCAAACACAAAAAAAAAACACTAAAGCATGAGTTGTTGTTATTGCATTCTTTGAGTGTGGTCTGTCACTATCCATGCTGAAATAGCATGCCATTACATGTGAAGTGAAAAAGTAATCTGTTTTTGTGGTCAACGAGATGGTTATTTGTCCTTAATATCAAGTGTCATTAAGATAAGATTTGTCATTTTACTACCAATCATAATTGTCACACATGTTCTAGATTCAACAGATTACAAAATACTTCACCAAAATTTTAACTTCATATCAAAATAATCAGCAATTCCAATAACAATTGATATAATATAAGCATAGAAAAGCAAGATTAAAAAAGCTGTGGCTGATGATGCAGAGAGGGTATCAACAGACAAGTTTACCAACCCGGTGAGGAGATTAGCCTGCATAAATTTATTAGAGGAGATTAGCCTGCATAAATCTAAATGGATAGATAAGTCAAATATAATAGTTCCGACGGAAAATGTTATTCACCAGAAGAAATGTAGCCAGTAAGTTCCGATTAAATGCTTCTTCAAGTACTGAAGTTTTGATTCCCGGAATAAGATCGGCCAGTGTTAAAATTGATAATAGCTGAAAAATGAGCGACACCCAGATTAAACACTCAACCGAATCCAATTGAGTATGTCAGATTTTTTCAAAAATATTCAATTCGATAAATATAATTTAAACAATAATCAAGATAGTGCCAGCAAAAGAATCCTAGGGTGAAACACAATATAAGTTACAAAAGCCATCACACTGTTAGACACTGATCTGATGGACAAAACAAAAGTCAGAGTGATAATGACCTGTAAATTGTCAGCCACCACCAAAGTAACATATGGCAGGTTGCACTGCACAATGGATCGAGAATTAGTTAGTTTTCATCTATTGATACCAATGGAAAGCCCTTTCGAGTATGAAGTTATAACATGGTGGGGAACATACCGTTCTCCGTGAAATTCTTTCGACGTGCCTATCTAGAAGCACAGTTAATAACCTGACACGGGGATCATATAAAAAGTACAAGTTCAATCCGGTGGATTTCATTCAAAAGGATAAATAACTTCCGGATTAAATTTTTACCAAAACAGGATTGCTAAAGCCCAAACTCTCATCCGAACCCATCTGCTACTTTTAATTGCAGAGGAATGGGTTCCAAATATAAGATAGTTTCCTAAATGAACGCCAATAAGGTACATACCCCAATATCCTGTAGACATAACGAGATATTTGTAAGAAATATTATGTATCAGAAGTGAAATTGCATGATGATTGAACAATGCAATGTGTAATTCGTACCAAATATGCTAAAAATCCCCTCCTTGTTTTGACTTACGATATCCATTCCTCTTTCATTAGAAAGCAAGTAATGGTTTAAACCATGCATCAAACTGAACTGGTAACCTTTGAAACATAGATTGAATTTTATAGGGAATCAGACTTCAAAAAACATGACATTAGGTTCAGAAAGAAAGAAGAAGAAAAAAGTACCTACTAGGACAAGTGATCCAAAAACTCCAGAATATTGTGGGGGAATATTAATAAAGGATGTAAGGATCGAGATAGCAGCAAGTGTAAAGAAAAAATTCCAATGCACACCATATTCACTCGTATGGACCTATTCGAAGGAAATTGGGAAAGAATGAGATGGAAAGCATATTCCGGGCATCCTAAGAATTACTTGAATTACTGAATTATGCAGTTAAAACGGAAACAATCTTATATGTTAAATGAGACTCTTGAACGTGAGGCACTAACTATCCCACAAGTAACCACATATCTTTCTAGAAAAACCTCAAAATTGCCTCTCTTTTTTATTCGTCATATTTTTAACACTTCGAAAACATAAGTATATTATTTTACGTCTAAACCTTCCAAGAACTAAAGTATTTCATTATGCATGTGTAAAAACTTAAAGGCTACGTAATGAGTTGAGAACTCTATCTCAATATCTCCAGACTCTAGTATCTATAAGGTGTCAGTTTGATTAGCTCCCCTTCTAGTCTTAATCTCATCATTTGAAACCAAACCCACAATTTCAATTGCATAAGTAACTTGTTACTCATCATTCACTTAACAAGAACACACAACATTAAGAACCATGTTCAAATTTTGAGAAAAATATATGAACACTAACTACTACTTATGCAAGAGCGTGTTGTCGTTGATGAGTCAAACAATGGACATAATATGCATAAGGACAATTTTGAAGAAATCAAAGCTTGTTAATCATTTCACTCTCCAGGCTGAATACTATCTCCATCATATCCTTAGCCCCAGATATTCAAAATAATTTGTGTATCCTATCCACATCGTGCAAATACTATCTCCACTTAGTGTGTGATTGGACAATGTTGAGCAAATAATTGTTTAAGATCACGTGTATATCATATCCAAGAAGCGCTCTTTGACATAACCATTCTTCTTAAAACTCGGATTGGGCCTAACACAAACCCTTAACAATTTTTATTAACAAATATAATAATTAGAACAATTTGTTCCTTTTATAATAACCATGAGCTGCACTGACAACAACAACAACCGAGTCTTATCCCACTAAGTGGAGTCGCATGAGCTGCACTGACAATTGAATTATCAATCTCTTCTCAAAATTTAATTTTGCACATTAAAAGTTTTAAAAGCATGTGGTTGGACAAGTTTTTCCATGATGAATGGAGTGAGGGAGTGGAGTGATAAAGAGATTAAGGATTCCATCCCTGGCCCACAACATAACACTGACAATTGTCATTCAAAAAAAAAAAAAATTAGCCTATAAGTTTGAAGATGGTGCAGGAAACAAAAGATTTTTTTCTTTCTTCATCATCTCTCTTTTCTTAAAAAAAAAAAAAAAATAGTCCAAAGTTTGTTTTCTTTAAGATATATATAAATATAACATTCATCAAAATTTTGTATATAATCGTTCTAATTTAAAGTGATAAGTATGTGTACCAAAGTGAGTGAGCAGATGTTGAGCTTAACATGAACTGTGCACCATCTTTTAAATTGAACAATGCTTGAGAATAAAACTATCAACTTGCTTTTTATAAGAAACGCAATAGGTAATGATGAACTAAAACCTTGTCTCTTGCACCAAATTAAAATTTAAATACTATAGTTAAAAGTTGAAAAATTAATGCACTTAAAACTTTAAAAGCTTTAAAGATTAAAAATCAATATTGATCCGTGATCCTGAAAAAAGTCCATAAATTTAAAGTAATTATGTTAATCAACAAGATGAAATTCGTAGGGCTAATTTAACCATATCAATTGTTAAGTGGGACGTGAAGTGCATGAGTTTATGTTCTAGTAATTCATGAAGTGTATGGGCGACAAGGGATGGGTGAGAGAGGAGGGGAACCATAAACACACTTGGGGAAAAAGGGGTGGGGAAGACCACTTTACCTATCCGTTTATTTAAAATGTATGTAGATCTTACGGTTCCATTGTTACTTCCACTGATGCACCCCTTTCCAAATGATACATTTGAAAAGGCATCTGATTTTCCTAGTAAAGATATAATGTAATCAATTATATAAATATAAGCCTGCTGAGTGCTAATTACTCGAGCATTTCTCAAATTTCTTAGTCTAAATTCTTATAGTCTCTATGTCTAAGCTTGTATAGTTTTGACTCCACCGAGACCTAGTACTATACTGAAATGAAATAATCCAGCACAGTACAATCAAAGATGAAATATCAGAGTTTCAACTCTATGTGAATGGTTTCTGCGGAAAAAAGAAGCCTCACTCACCCAATCATGCATGGCATCAGAGCTGATAGGCTTACAAATCATAGGGGTTTATTTTAGTCTTTGAGAACTACGCCATATAACATTTAAATTTTCAAAAAGATAGTGATTATACATGTTAAAGCTAAATAAGATGTAGTATTATTAAATGCATGTCAAAATGTTTGTTGACACAGTATCTAAGAATCTCAATGAATATAATCCCACCTGATAATCCACACCAGTTGTTGTAACAAGACGAAAAAATCCTAAGAAGATAAGTGGACTAGATGAAACTATTGCAGTCTTCCAGTTTCTGAAGCAAGTAAATAAATGATGTTATCAGGGGAATGTAGAATGCATTATATTTGTGTAAGTTCCTTCAAAAGGACAATCAATGTCATTACAGAGCATCTAAAAAGATTTAGTAAAGCAGCAATTTAATTTTCAGAAGCCTGCCAGCATTTCATGTTAATAATGTTTCTTTGCCCATTGAACAAGCTTGTCAAAATTTGCCTTAAGCACACTTAAGAAAGGTAACGAATAATCTAACTCAACTAAAAAGGCATTTCAAAATCTAGGTAAACATGATTCTTCTATTTCAGTAAACATACAAAACGCAACTATTTTTCAAAAGTTCATTTTGTAAACATACTTACACAGATGCAATATTCCGCGCTTGACGAGAAACAAATGAATTTGCTAAAACAAATGCTCCAACTCCAAGATCCATCTGCAATGCAAAAGTAATGTCAAATCTCAGCAGAACAGACAAATTATTGACTATACCTTTTGTTAGCAAGATAATAAAACAAAATTATGCACCAAGTAGTATGTACAGATCAGAATCTTCGCATGATTAATAGAGGTAATTTACAAATTGAATAAAAAATTCATTCTCTCCAAACCTTCACCCATTCCCTTTTTTTCTGCATTTACTTTATTGGTATATATATTACTGAAGCGGTATGTAAGATAGTATATAGATTTATCAACAGAAGTAGACTATAGTGGAGGACCAGAAATCCTCGTGAGTCAAAACAAAATAAACAACAAAAAATTCACAGGTTAAAAGGGGTCACAAATCCCTTTGCAAGTCAGATGAAGTAACCTTCTTAAAGAAAGCATGAGCTTCCAAAGAGGAAATGCTTCCCTAGATGATATGCTTCAATGAGGGGGAGGAAACTGTTCATATAGACTCTGGCATTATAATCTAATTTTGAACCAAGAAATTTGGGAATCTGCCTCCCCGCCCCTTTACTTCTAAAAATACTTCTTTTAAACTATTTTTTCATTGATAATTATAAATATATTCAAATAGAAACTCTCAGAATTTGGGTTGGGCCTAACTCAACCCTACAAAGCCGGCTTGTAAGGTGAGGATTGCCCCCACTTATAAATACAACTTTGACCATATCTCTAAGCAATGTGGGACTAAATCCACCCCTTCAAAGCTAACACAATGAAGGTGTTAGGGGCTGCAATGAGGCAAGCCAAAGTGCCGCAATTAAGGCAACTAGGGGCGGACCGCAATTAAGGCGGAAAATCCAACACACCCCCTCACGCTTGAGCCTCAATGAGCCCAAAGCGTGGACGACGCGGGAAGCCCAACAAGAGGTCTAGGATAGGCTCTGATACCATTTCAGAATTTGGATTGGACCTAACTCATCCCTACAAAACCGGCTTGTAAGGTGAGGATTGCCCCCGCTTATAAACACAACACAGGATACATCTCTAAGCAAGATGGGACTAAATTCACCCCTACAAAGCTAACACAATGAAGGTGTTAGGGGCTGCAATGAGGCAAGTCAAAGTGCCGCAATTAAGGCGACTAGGGACGGACCGCAATTAAGGCGGAAAATCCAACAGAAACTATCTTATATCATTTTATATTTCAAAAATAAAATACATTCATGATACATGTATAGGAATTTGACCCTCCAAACTACCTCAAAAGTTAATCAATCACTCCGATGTTAAAGAAGTGTTGGATTAAGAAAAGAAGTGTTGGATTAAGAAAAGAAGTGTTGGATTAAGACGCAAATAAAACATTTTATATGAAAAAATTTTAACATCCTTTAGGTAAAGTATGTCTTTCAATTTTTCTCTTTTATTTTGAATTTAGAACTGTCAAAGAATCCTACCAAACTAGCTCCGAATGTTTCAGTCTTCGCATATCTTCTAGGAAATATTCTGAAATCAACAGCTAAGATGCACAAGATTGTTATAATCATCTGCAAAAATATTTTTTATCAACATAATAGCATATTAAATCAACACAATGGAATAAAAAGTTCTATATTCACACTTCATACCACAATAACCCTGTACGAAGTAATATATGCCCTAAAAGAATTGGGCTCTTCTAAAACAGGAGATGAACCACCAGGCCTACAGTAAATTGTATGGAAATCAACAATTACCCACTTCAAAATATGGCTCGTGTGAAACTTTTGATTGAACTTATTTATATCATGAAGGTCTGTTCTTTTACAAACTTTGCTAAACAAATTGAACAATTACCTCTTCACTGCAATATAAAGCAATGTTAAGATTGTGAATAAACTTGCTATTATATAGCTCCAGTCAGCAAGTACCTATAACCAAGTTCATTGTACCAATTACAAAACAAAATGACTGGAGTTTATTCAAAAATCTAGTTAGCAACATAGCTACCACCCTGACAAAAGCAACAAAAAATTAACTTTCAAGTTAGCAAAACATTTGACGCTACCCGGGACACTTACAGTGAAAAATAAGAGCATAGGAACAACTATGACCAGAAAATCCAGAGTCAATGTAGATAGGTAAGCTTTAAAACTCCTATGCTCAGACGGTGCATCGTCCTTTTTCTTCTTCAGGGAGTTACCTAAAAGTAAAAAAGTAAAAATTAGGATTTTAGGCCATGTTTGGATAAACAGCTCAATTAAGAAATTGCAGTATAAGCGCTTATCATACTTATGTATAAACTATTTCTATAACAAAATACAAAATAAAGTGAAATTGCTTTCATGTAAGCTATCCGTTGTTTTCATGACTAAAAACTATTTTCATAAGCTATCCAACAGAGCTTATGGAAATATCCTGAAAACAGTTTATCCACCTATCATAAGTTGTTTCTAGAAGCTTTACCAAACAGTCTCCCAAATTCTTGTGCTAATAGATATGCTAAATAAGTCAATCCAAACATTCCTTAACCAGAAATTTAAAAGAAATTCACAGACAAGAGGTATTCAAACCATGGTTTTAAATAACAGTCCGCAATCGCAATTGCAGCTGCAATATTGCCGATGTGGTAGTATCCGCAACCGCATCGAACCACAACTGCGGTGTGATTTAAAATCAGGTGTTCGGTCACATTAGGAACCACAGAAGACAACTAAATTTCTTCATATATTTTCATCAAAACTCAATTTACATGAAAAATCTTAACATTGATTGTTTTTCAACATTCAAACACCTCCCAATCAAAATTCATGCTGCCACAATGAATGTGCGTGGTAACTGGTAAGGGACTAACCAGTTATGGGAATGGAGTTGAAGGAATGGCGAATAAGTACCAAAATCTATAATACAAACAGAAAATAAACATTGATGAGAAATCACGTTAGAATTAAGCTGAGATTATTACTGAGAAATGACTTACAGGGAGAGTTACTGTAAGAGCTGCGATTTCGATTAAAGATGATCCAGTCAAATTGCTAACGAATCTGCAAAATTAAGAGAAAAATGAATGCTAATTGTTATGATTGAGGAGAGATAGAGAGAGTAACTAACTGCTCTTTGAGTTGTTTGCTGGAGAGAGGAGTGTCCATGGTTTGGGTGGACGCAACGGTCGAGCAGCACCACCGAGCGGAGGGTGAACAAAAACAAGTTTATCAGAGTTAGGAAATTTTGATTTTTTGTTTAGTTTTTAAATTTTCTTTTATTATAGTCTTTTGCCTATGTCATATAGATGGTTTTCGATTTTCGATTTTTGATTTTCTCTTGTCCTAAGTAAAAAAAAATTAAACTCTAACTTTGACATACGAAAATCTCGTTCCTTTAGACTTTTAAATAATTTTAGTCCGTCTTAATGCATATGTGTCTTGCTGAAAGAAAATTTTCTATTGTTTTTCAAAAAATAATATTACAAGTGGAATAAATAATATCACTTCACAATTTTATTATTAAATTATTTATTCAATCTAAATAAATAAAATTATAAAATTACTTCATTTTTATTATCTTTCTCTTTGTATTGCCCTAACGTTTCAATTTATAAGAATTTTATTGAAGACGAAACATGCGAAGGAGAATAAGATAGTTGGATGTGAAAACATTCATCATAGAGTTGTTTATATCAGTTACATAACTCGATTCATCTAAGAACTTTGAACGAAGGTATTCTCATCTTTTTATATTTTTCTGAAATTTTTGTGTTTAGTGAACAACAACTGATGTATGTCGTTCAAAAAACAGAGTATGACTAAGTTTAGTATTGTTTCTCATCACGAGAAAGTTTGTCAAAGACAAGACAACATTCTATAAGGGTGGGGTTCACACCACTATATTTGATCAGAATGTCAAAAAAAAAAAAAATAGGGTGTCTTACAGGTGTTGAAATTGGTTCTTGACTAGGGTTATAAAAGAAATGAGGTTAGGGTTTGGAGCAAACTTAAAGGTATAAATGATTACTTGTTGAAATTAACATGGATGACTGAACTATAGATGTTGCAAGTTATGTTATTTGAAGCAATAGTGAAGGACATTTATATTTTGAGCATAGTTTGAAGGACATCAATGTCAAAATTGTTGAGCCTCAATGTATTGATATGACTGAAGGGATTGAATCAAGTGAGAGAGAAGAGGAACCATTGGAAGTGATGATGATATAAGGATGGTTTGTGCCACTAAGCCACCCAAGAAGAAATTAACCTCAAAGAAGAAAAAGTTGAAACTGGTTGCACCTGCTAGGTGTTGATTGGAAATTTCGACGCCAGGTTTTTGTGAAAAGGCATTAAGTGAAACATCAAGTTTCTTGAGTTTTTGCTGACTTCGACAGGAGCTTGTGAGAACTCTAGTCGAATTAGTCTCCATGAAGGGGATGCTTGGACAATATTTTGAAATATTTTCTAAGTCTAGAAAGTCACTTCGACAGAGGATATTTGAAGCCTCTTTTCGTCAGAAGATTTGAATTTCGAGATACGGATATATAACTGTCTTTTGTCCTTATCCGTTTCTCAAGAGAGACGTGTGGTGAACTATGGCGAAATGAAATCATGCAGGGAGAAATGTGTCAGTTTTTGGAGAAATACCCATTAAAGACAATTATTTCGACTTATTATAAATAGGAGTCTTAGTGTTAGGATTTCTGGGTGTTCATTTGTTGTACAATACTCAAAATTTACTCAAAGTATCTAAGTCAAGTGAGAAAAGAGTTACTATTAAGAATGTGCGTGTGAAACACCATATTTTATTTCATTTCAATAGAAATTTACTTTTATTTATCAATTGTTCTTTAATGCACTTTTACTTTGAAGTTCTTTTCTTCATTACATTATCTTTGTTAAATTTTTACAAAGTTTATTTTTTCCAAAACAATTAAAACAACATTTTATACAAATGAATTATGTTGAAGTGTTTATCAATTTTCCAGAAATATATTGAGACAATAGCTATGTCCTTAAGATTCACCGGTTGATCCTGCAAGTAAACCAATTTTTTGGAAGACCAGCGGTTGTTTACCAATTTTACGGTAAACAAATTGGCACGTCCAATGGGACAGTACTATTGTGTCAAAATATTTTCTTGTTTTTACAATTTTTGCATTAAGTTCTTCATTTTTATCTCTCCATACTTCGTTGCATGAGACTTAGGAATGGTAGAATAGCGACAATTAACAAAGAGAGACCAAGGAAAAGATATGTAATGAGAATGGTGAATCCAAATCCACCAAACAACCAAAATAATGAAGAACCACCCCCTTCTTCTTCGACAAGGGGCAGTATGATTCCAGCATTAGTGTCTGAAGTCATACCTTTTATGGCAAATTTAACGCTTGTGCAGTCGATTGCCCAGAGTGGTCCCATTTTATCCTATGTGGGAACACAAGGTCCGCTAGTGACCCCCCCCCCCCCTCTAATGGGAAATAATACATTTAGGCCTTATGTGCCTAAGTTCTCAATGCCTCCAATAGGATGCGAACAACCTTATGGCATGCCAACATCAGTGATGGCAAGTTTATATAATGCGTCATCAATCTTCTCAGAACCAGTGGTGAATGTAACTTCGCCATTACAAGGATCTGGTTCAGGTGTTAATAATATGGGTTAAGTTAGCCAGCCCTTAGGGACAGGATTTCCTACCCAGATGTTTAATATCACTAACAATTCTACAGCAGTGATAAGGCAACAGATGGACGAAAGTAATCATGAAATGGTCCAGATGCTTACCCAACAGATGGGTGTCATGTTCAATCCCTTAATCCAAAATACTACCCAAACGAACCAACAATTGGTGGTGCAAATGACGCGCATTGCTGATTTCTTTAGTGTCCCTCAACCCCCTCGACAATCCCAAAGGGATTGGATAAGAGAAAATTCAGGGTTAGTTTTAAAAGAAGACCCCGCAATCAACCAAGTTCAACAAAATGTACCTCATGCGAACATGTTAAATCAGGGGGCAGGAGTCGAACCACCTAGGGTCGAACCTCCTAGAATTGAACAACCATTCCCAATAAAACCAAGGGTACTAATGGTAAATAGAAACCAGAACATTGATGAAGTCATAAATCAGGTTCGATGCGATGATGTGGCAACAGATGATAATCTAGCAACCATGGTCGAAAGAATTATGGCTAGGAATGAGGTGAATATTGGCCTTTAAAGGCCAAACTATACTTCACCATTATTTGAATACATCTTACAGTCAGATTTACCCCCTAAATGGAAAGTACCTAAATTTACTAAGTTTTCTGGGGATATTAGTGACTCCATAGTCGAACATGTGGCAAGATACCTGATAGAGGCAGGCGAAATTGCTAATAATGAAAACCTAAGAGTAAAATATTTCCCAAGTTCACTTACCAAAAATTCCTTTACTTGGTTTACCACACTGCCAGCAAATTCGATCCATAATTGGACTCAATTGGAGAGATTGTTCCATGAACGATTCTATATGGGACAGTCGAAGATAAGTCTAAAATAATTGGCTAGCAGTAAGAGTAAATTCTCAGAGCCAATAGACGATTATTTGAAAAGGTTTTGACTGCTTAAGGCAAGGTATATTACGCAAGTGTCTGAGCATGAATTGGTTGAAATGGCCTCTAGTGGCCTTGACTACTCAATTAGGAAGAAGTTGGATACCCAATACCTGAGAGATATGGCCCAGTTGGCTGACAGAGTTCGACAGGTAGAACGACTGAAGGCTGAGAAGGCTAGGGCAAACAAGAATAGAAAGGAAAGGGTAGCCTACGTCTAATTTGAAAAAGACGAACAAGAAACTAGTACTGATCCCTTTTTCGATGAGAGTGAAATTGACCTTGCTGAATTGAAGCAAGGCCCGCCATACTCCTGTAAAGTCTTGACACCGTCGAATGGAAAAAATCCAGTCGATTCAGAGAACAATTACAAGTTCCCTAAAAGAAACTACACCTTCGACGTCACCAAGTGTGACGAAATCTTTGATTTATTAGTTAAAGATGGCTAAATGATAGTACCTCATAGTGCTAAAATGCCACCTTTAGAACAAAGGAAAAAGAGAGGTTTTTTTAAATACCATAATTTTTGTGTCATAAAACTTTTCAATGTTTCCTTTTCAGGGATCTTGTTCAAAATGCCATCAAGGAGGGGAAACTTAAGTTTGCTGATAAGTTAAATAATCAGATGAAGATCAACGTTGACCCTCTCCTTGTAGTAGACGCGCATTATATTGAACCTTCGATGGTCAACATGGTAGAATTTGCTGAAGACTTCGTCAATGATGTTGTGATGGTCGAAGTCGCTGATGGCTTCACACTTGGGGTCACTGAGGATTCTAGAAAAGAAATCGTTGAGGGTTTCGCCCAAGAAGTTACTGAGAACTTCAACCAAGAGGTTATTGATGGCCTTGACAAGGGAGTTACTGAAAGCTTCTACAAAGGGACTACTGAAGGTTCCAACCAAACAACTATTACTCATGAGATTACTGAGGGTTTCATGCAAGTTAACAATGAAACTAAGGCTTTTGAAGGCCTTAGGATTAAGTTTTAAGAGTTTGGCATTAATGAAGGCGCTAATCTCGGGGTAAACATGATCAAAATGACCCAAGGATCTACAATGGAGGTAGATGAATCCAGCCTCAAGCAGGAAGATTACGTTAAGGTGGTTTATCCTAAACAAGAGGAGAATTTGGCTGAACTCCTCCAAGGGTGCCAGAAAAAGAATTCTAAAGTGATGTTGTGCCCTAGGTGCAGCGTGGTCTTTGACAGGAAGGCTGCGGAGAATATTCAAGGAGTTCGGTGAGCAATGGCCAAGAATAACTAGAGGTATTCTTGGAATCATGATGCCTTCGACAGGAAAGGAGCACCTGGGTGACATGATTAAAATGAAAAAAGGCTTCATGGAAACTATCCTTCCGCATTCAAACCCACTGCAAACGCCCCCAGGGACAAGTGGGTAAAACCAGTTGAAGAGAGGAAACGAGGCCAGAAAAGTGGTGGAACTTCAAATTCGAACGAGGTTCATCACTAACTTACCGAAGAGAGTTTCAAGCCTCTAAACAATTAGCATGGCGCTCATAGAATTACAAAGGTAAAATTCCCATGTCAAGATCCTAGTGGAGACGACAACAGAGA